AAATCTCAAAATCAATTACAACATAGATGAACTATTGGGGTTCAAGACATACAAAAAGTGAAATAAAGAGGTACAAATGTCTATTCATATTTCCATTATTAGTATCACAAAAACAAATATTTCTTTTCTACTTGTTATGTTCATGCATGTAAAAATAGGTTTCTTAGAAAAGTTGCAGTTTAATTTAATTTTTATGTATATATATATATATATATATATATATAATCATTAGTGTATGCTTTATCTCTATATTACACTCTGGTAGTATATCATTGATGATACATATCAAATTGGTTTTTTTTTGCACACACATGATGATTCTTGTAGTGATTTCATAGAGTATATGTAGATCAAACCATCCATTGCAAACAATATATGATGTCATATAAAAAAAATCTAAGTGCAAATCAAAGTACTACCATGAAATGTCATAGGAGCAATATTTAAATAATAAATAATTCTAATATAATTGTGATTTTTTAGTAAAATTTGCTTTAAAAAACAAATTTTGTTCAAGTTAGTTTGAGGTAACTACATGAATAGTTTGTCAAGTGATAAACTTTATTTGTTTGAAATATATTAAGTTCCATCTAATGGTGTTGTAGATCAAAGTACACATCAAGATAAACCTAAGAAAAATCTTGAATGATTTTATTCAAAATTTATAAATCTTCAATTTTATTAAAAAAATTGATCAATAATACACAATCCGCTATATATTAAACTTAATTACTTTTGTTAACAATCTTCATTAGACATTGCTTATCATAGATTGAATATAGAATTACTTTTGTGATCATAATTTTTAGCATATCTCTATTTAAATTATTATTAATTACATTGATCTCATTTGACGATTTGATTATTGTATATTATTTAGATTTCATAAAAGATAAATGGTTTACTTTACAGCTGTATAATTTAATTTTTTCTTATTTCATTTTAAGCTTCAAAATTTCTAACACTCAACTATAATTCTTGCATATTAAAAATGCTACAAGAAAAAAAAAGATTTTTGTACAGGGTTCAAAAATTATTGCGCATAAAAAAATGATATTTGATAAAATTTGATAACTTGAGTATCAATTTTTGTTTCATCTACATTCATGAATTTTCATCTTGATTGAGTTATTTTATCACGTTTGAACAATTTTGAGAAAAAAGATCATGAACTTTTTTTGTGTTATGTAAAAAATATCATTAAAATAAATAATTTAAAAATTTTACATAAATCTTACATACATACTTAAATCTTAAATTTTTGTACTACTCTTGGGTCAAAATATTTATATCTGAATAATAATATATTTTTTCTTGAAAATCTAAAAATCCGACAAAAAATTAATTTTTTTTTCTTAAATTTTTTTCGTATTTATATAATAATTGGAAAATTGAAATTTTTAAATAAATATAAACCATTTTTTATTAAAAAATTATGTAACATACAATTTTAAGTTATTGTTGAAAAAAAATTTAAGCTTACTTTCTTTGTATGCAATTATTAGACTAAAGATATACAAATTGTTTGATGAAATAACATTTTGTATACAGATAGTTTTTCATGTAATGTCTTTTTTGCATTTTTTGCATTTTTCATGTTATATAATTTGAAATGTAAAAAGAAAAAAATCATGAGACATGAATTTTAAAAAAATATGAAAGTACATTTGAATAAAATAATAAATTATTTTTTGATATCAAATGAATGTATATCACCCACTCAAAAACATCATACTCATGTGTGAAAAATGACATATCTATTCTAAATCAATTTGATATTTTACTCTATTTAAATTAGTTTTATTATATAATTTATAATCATTTATATTTTGAAGATTTATGAGATATTTAAGAATTTTCTATCTATGCATAGTTTTGTGAAGATGAATAGTTTATTTGATGTGTCATAATTTTGATATAATAAATGACGTATTTCATGTGTTTAAGTTGAATAATTTTTTTAAATTACGAAATAATTATTATAAATTTTGAATAATATAAAAAATATGGTTATGAAGAAGAAAATATTTTCAATATTATTTAATATTTAATAATTTTAATGCAATCTTCATTGTCCACATCAAAAATATTTCTTTCAAATCTTATTTTCATTACAGATTTTTTTCTCTCAAATTGGAATAATGTACAGGTCAAAATTTTAATATCTTTCTAAAAGTGAATTTGACTTTGATTTATATTCAAATTTTTAAGAGATTGAGGTTTGATGTCATGTATGATAGCATCAAATGTCAGAGTTTATAGATTCTAATACATGAAGCATGATAATTTTAACATAAATAATGAAATTTCATGAAGTATCAATCATATTTTCACACAATCTCCATTCATCACTCAACACAAAATTTTATTGAAAATTCAAATTAATTTCTAATTTCAAAATTCTCATTGATGAAACAAGTTTTTATAAAAAAAAAATTTCATATGTGCTTGAAAGTTTATTCTCTAATTTTTTTTATAATATAATTGAAATTAGTATACATAATTAGTATGAATCATCATAATTATGCATGAAAAATTTATCATTAAACACAAATTTTTTTAACAATAATTAGTAATCATAAATTTCTCATCAATGAAAGAAGTTATCAACAAAAAAATTCTTTAAATTTGCTTCAAAATCTCTCTCTACCTCTCTATTTATACTTATAGAAAATTTATCATGATAATTCATAATTAATCACTTCCGAATGTACATTACATGATTAATTTTGATAGATATGTCTAATGTAAGTAAAAAAAATTATAGCACAACATGCTATTGATCAATCTAGATATCTGTGTACTCAAATCTAGGTAACAACATGTCATTAAAAACCTTGAAACTCTTAGAATCCCAACTTGTTGTTAGTCAAAATTTAATTTTATCTAATCCATGAGAATTTTATTACTTAGTAAAATCAATAAAAACTAACCTGTAGTCAAAAAAATTTCCATTAAAATCTTAATTCTTTAATTATTTTTTTTAATCTTTAGAAGTATTTTGATTAATTTTCCAAGTATAAATTTGAAAACTAAATCTAGTTAAAACTAACTAAATTGAATCATGATTAAAAAAAATCATAGTCAACTATTCGGATAAAGTCAAAATGAATGCATTCATAATACTACAAGTAATACGGATTATGAGTAGTTAAAGGTAGATTTGATACTCAAGATACAAATCAAATGTGATTAAAAGTTCATAATATGAATCAAGTTGAAAATCAGTGAGAAGTCAAAATAATGCACCGTTAATAGTTCAAAAATTTGTACCTATGTGCACACTTACTTTGCATTTAAAAAGGAAGGAGATTTGTGATCATTTTTAATTAGTTAGAACTAATTAAAAATGAATGTGATACATGATGATGCTTTTGTAATTCTGAAGCATTGTCCGACTCGTTCGACCAGCTCCCCTGCCTGCAGACTTTGATCATCGAGGGAAAGAACAAACTTCAAAGGTTGCCTGAGGATTTATGAAATATGCATCATCTACAAAAGCTGTTAATATCACTTGGGAAGTCTTTGTCAAAATCGCCTGAGTAACTCATACGTTTTATGGTCAAACAAGACATGCATGTCAATGACATGTCTATCATCAAGATGATAAGCAAGGTTTGGCTAGAAGAATCCAGCCAAGCTTTGCTGGAAGTTTCTTGTCAGATTTCGACCATAACGGGGGGCTTTGTGATCATTGAAGATATTCAAAACTTGCTTGAAGACGAGTTGGACATGCGTGATACTAGGGAGCCATTCTATATGGAGAGATGGCAGCTGATTGTGAGATCTTTGGGAGAAAGTGCTGGAGTTTGGTTCTCCATTCTCATTAGTTCATGGATCTTCAGTTTGTTGAGTGCCATAGACTTTGAACCATACTTGACGATCCACACAGATTGCGATGAAATACAAATATGTTATTTCTTTTCGATATAAAATTTAAGATAAAAGGTCTAATGTCCCCGATTGTCTTTCTCAATAGCAAGAACCCAACTAGTATCCATCATAGACCAATTGAACAACATCATTTCAAATGAAGAGAACTTTATATCCATAAGGCAGAGTATAAAATTACAGTGTATGAAACAATGATCATCGCATGCTAATCCACTCTCCTCTATCTCTCTTCTCCCCCTCGTGTAGTAAATTTTCTTCAAAACGTTCCAATTCTTCTGAAGTAGAATCGGCTGACAGGTCTTACTATACCGTACTAAAAGCTTTGTAGTTTTTTCTCCTTCGGAATGGATATCATCTCTTCAATATGAATCCCTTTTTCAGAAAGAGCACGAGCAACTTCCTTGTGCTTCGCAATATAATAATCAACTCTACGGAATAGAATCGTCAGCCAGTTTAGCCGCGTGGTCTCATATGCGTGAACGTGTAATACAAACTGGTCAAAGAACTGCGCCTTTAGCAATTCCATGCCTTCTTGTTCTGACTGTTAGCGCAAGGTTTGCTCAAGTCGTTGAATTTAGAATATAGCAACCAAGATTCTGTAACTATCTGATATATACTTATCTAGTTAAATAAAAAGATCGAGTACATGCACTCACGATGAGCAGCAATAAGCCTTGTCTGACATAATCACGTTGCCAATACCGTGTAGCACAATTTAAATAATGCACATGTGAAGCAAAAAGAGTGTAACCTCTTCGAATACAACTTGAACCAAGACAAAACTATGCAGTCAAGTCCTACGTTAGTAGGATGCAGTGAAACAGCAGCAGTTGGGCGTATTCGAATTCGTGTTTACGACGCTGAGGTAACATATACCTCAGCGGATAAGGAACCAACTAGCAGGGGAACAGAGTGGAGGAGAAATGTCAACAACTACTCAGGAAGAGATGCCCAGATGGGGAGTTTATGATACTAGATACAAAACTAGAGGCTACAATTATCGTAGAGGGTTCAGTCATTTGACTATGATATGTGTTATTGACATAACGCCCGGGAAAACGCTGGTAAAAGCATGAACTGTTAGCAACTGGGATGATGTATTCATGCAGTCAACTCCATATGAGGTGCAAGGAGATGCGGTGACTAGTCCAACATTGCTCATTCTTATTCTGGTCATGCAGTGTCGCTCGCAACGTTATAAGTGAGGAAAGTTGTTTCAACTTAATGTACATACTCACGATGTGTTCTATTAACGCCTCGACAAAGTGCCTTAAGCTACTTCGACCATGGCAGGGATTTCTACGTATAATTTCGAATGAAGGATCTGGATCGTCCGCTCCTGAAGGGCCAATCTGCTCTGCGTTACAGACGTCTTCTCTGTCAAACCCAAACGAATGGACGACTACCCTGAAGAATGAGGCGCTCATCTACTAACAGTTGCCTCGAAAGTTTCATGGTATTATCAACATGGAGAAACTTTTCTGTAACTTCTGCTGGGCCTTCATCAATAATGGCGAGGAGTGGACAGTAACGTCAACGTATACTGTTGGTTGTTCACTACTTGGAACTTATCCAGTGCAGTACTTTGCCTCGGACTATTATCGACCTAGTGCTTGAGGTTTTAGCAGGCAGCCGACCTGTTCTTGTGCACGAGCCTGTTCTTGCAATTGCACTTTTCACCTTTTGACCTTTGTGCACCGTAATCCGCGTGCTTTGCTGCCGCTTCACTCTCTTCTTCACACAGAATTCACTCGGCTGGAGAACTTCCAAGTAAGCAAGAAGAAGCAATCTTTATGTTTAAGATTCTTGACTGTGTGCTGCCCGGGCTCAAATGTTCAACTCTTGTACAGTATCTTTGAATATTGGAAAGTCAAACTAGAACCTACTGAGAATGACTCAAAAGTCAAAAGATAACTCCGCTAATTCACACACGGTTATGAGACTCACTCATCTCTGTGAGCTGGACAGTGCTTAACATTGGACCAAAAGTCTGCCCGAGGAAACTCAGCAACCCACCCACACAAGGAGGAACCTCATAATCAGCTAGCAGAGGAGGAAATTTCTGATTGCAAACATGGGATGGTCTGGAGAGATTGAGGATTTCGATTGAGCGACGTTACTTTCGCGCACTTATATTAACACTTGTCTCCTGACGAGGAGGAGAAGAGGAGAAGTAATTGTATCAAATACTCTCCATACTCTCCATCGTGCTTCTGGAGCGGGCGGCGATTACGCAAGTTAAACGCAATGTCTCTGCCCCCTGCGTATTCGGCCACTGCCGCTCCGCAGGTAAGCTAATCACAATTATAAATGCAGTATAGCAGTTCTGGAACTTACATCAATGTTTGCTCTGTTTCCAATTATTTCTTGAAATCTAAGAATCTCAGAGCTGCAGTATGTAGGATCGGTCCACGTTGTTTGATTGCTGATCTGCATCTGATTTATCAGTTAAGCGACTCTGTATACGAACTTTACAAGCCAGGAGTTGAATCACTGCTGGACGTTGTATTCTTTCATGGCCTACAATTGTCACACACCTATGTAGCTCACTTATCAACATGGAGGTCCCGCGGTTCGCAAAAGGAAGTATGGCCGATGACCTGGCTCCCGGAAGAGTTTCCTGGAGCTCGGATTCTCTCTGTCAAGTACGATGCTTGTATCATTACATCAGCAGAGCATGGAAGATTAGACCTCTACTGCACAGCCGAAAGTTTGATGCAAGATCTTATATCTGCAAAGGTGGGGCAGCATCCCTGGCGTCCAGTTATACTTGTCGGCCACAGTTACGGAGGCTTGGTGATCAAACAATTGTGCCTCCATGCGCACTTAAGCCAAAGCTTGCACCTCTCTAAGGAACAAATGGCTGGATTTCTCAACTGCGTCAAAGGAATTTTCTTCTATGGAACGCCCCATCACGGAATGTCATCTTTCTTGAGTCCGAATGGAGCACACCTGAAAGATGCTAGCCCTCTAGTGGACTATGTGAAGCTGCTTTGCGCAGAATCAGCTCGCCTTCATCAAAATTTTGATGCTTTACGGCTGTCCTACAAGTGGAGCATTGCTGGAGTCGGAGAATCGAGACCTACTACGTTTTTGATTATCGTGAGTGTGAGGCTGATTTACGTTCACGATGTGACATGTTTGTTCTTTATTTCACTCGACTTGGTTTTAACCTGCTGAAACAGCGGCCCTCAATTCTGCATCCACAAATTTTGGTTCGGAACCTAGTACTTTTATGAGATTGTTCGGATATCAATTACTAATCAATTACTAAAGATCTGGACGGTGTTCATGAACTTGGCTGAATTCCTGTTTCACTTTTTGGAAATTCATCCACCATCGAAGGATTTAAAATGACGAGTCTTACCAGTGGTTTGTTCCAACCTGTATCCCAAGTATAGGAAGCGGGGTCCAAGAATGTTGTTGCAGTTAGCAGTGAGATGGTGGTAGACGAGGCTTCTGCTCGGTACGGCGACTTCACTGTGGAGCTTGAGGATCATGTCTCTCTCTGCCAGCCCGAGAGCAGGACTTCAAACACTTACTTACGTTTGACAGCTTTCATTCAAAGTATCGATTTCAATAAGGTTGGTTGCACGAAGATGTTCTCGTCCTAGCATGTTTTATTTTTCTTCAAGAAAAGCAAAGATCAGCCCATGAGACCCTCTTACACGTATGAGAGCCAAAAAAGGTTCATGAAAGCTGACGAGTTTATTAGAGTGGGCGTCCCTCGATAACTAGATCACTGTCAACAGATTTTCAAATCATGGCTTTCAAGCAAGAGGCCATTCTAGTTGGGTGAAATTCTTTGTGGCCTATATAGCTAAACTGCGTTGGGCTACTATTATATGATACAGGTGAAAAGGAGGAGACTTCTTGATAATTTCCAGACGGTGCCGAAGATGGCAATGAGTTTACATTCTCACCTCTTCGTAGAGGTTCAAAACATTTTACGCACAGCTCCAGCAGTAGGCCTTTGCGGCATGGGTGGAATAGGGAAGACTACTCTCGCGAAACTGTTGTTCAACGAGTTATGCGCTGAATTTGAATACACTTGTTTTGTTCCTGGATTTATGCTGAAGGGAGATTACCAAGAATTAGAACGCGGCGTGTATTCGTTGATGCATCACCATGGCACACAGATTGCAGGAACTGGGAAAAACAAGAAGTGGAAATCGACTGCTTTGAGAATGAAGACACTTCTCCTCGTTCTAGAAGATATTGACAATGATAACCATATTGAACTTCTCCAGAACATATCTTCGGTGAATGATTGCGCAAACAGTCGTTACATTGTTACCTCTCGAGATAGAGATATTTTAAACAGTTCAGGCGCACGCGTGTTCGATGTGAAACTCTTGAATCAGAAAAGTTCCAAAGAGTTATTTATGAGCTACGCATTTCCTTATCCGACACAACCGAGTCCATCATTGACGGAATGGGTAGACAAGATTGTCGTAAAATGTGATGGACTTCCGTTAACCCTGGAAGTGATGGGCAAGTATCTCCAAAGGAAAGTTAGTGAAAGCATATGGAAACAGTGTCTTGACGCTCTAGATGAAGCAGACAATGTAATCCGTTTGGATGAACGGTTGTGGGCGAAATTGAGAGTGAGCTACGACCGTTTGGGTAGTCAGGAGAAGGAAATATTTCTTGATGCCGCGTCTTTCTTCAACAACTCCAGGTGGAGTCTGCGAGAAGCTAAATCTAGTTGGCGTGTACTCTATGGTCTTGAAGATCTCCGATGGCAGACCCTGGTAGATATGTCTCTCGTATATGACGTAGACGAAAAAGACAGGATACAAATGCATGAACAATTGAGGTCTTTGGGAATTAGACTGGCTTCAGGATGGGGAACATGTGGCAGATGTAGGACTTGGACTAAAAAAAATGTCCCCTCTAGGTTTAATTCTTCAAACTTCGATGAGAGTATCTCAGAAAGACAGATTTATTCAAGCGAGTCTGGTCCTTGCACATCGAGCACTGGAATGGAAACGCATATTGAGGTATGAGATTATGTTCAAAAGTTCCCTCTCTCAAGGTTCTGTCTTCTTTCTAGAGTACTTGGATATATGTAGAACATTGAATTTCATTGGTTTCGCTGATAGTTTCTTTTGACTTCTTGTACGGGGCTTTCAAAGATTTACTGCCTTTACTCTCATTCAGCTAAACCAATGAACTTTTTGAGGAGATCCTTTGCCTTTCCTTCAAAACTGTCTTTAGGTCCTCGTGCTGCTTTTCACCAATACTTTTTTATTAAGTCGCAGCCGTTCCTTCACACCTCCCTGGCCAGCCCTACGCCTTCACAAATTAGGCTAAGCTGCACACACCTCTCCAACGTACAACGATTTTACAACTGGTCGACGCGAGGCGGAAGTGAAGAAGCTCTGACCCACACTCAGTCGTTTCACTATACTATGCCTCGTTCAATTTGTGCATATTCTAACCATATCCCAGATTCCGATAGTTTACTTCCAGTAACTTCTCCTAGCTGGACTTGAAAAAACGAGCTGCGTCTTGCTGGCTTTCCGTCCACGAGCATCCCAGCCTACAAACAAGTTGTCAAATTCCTGGTTTTTGTTGAGACTGTGATCTCCTACGGAAGCTACTCCTCACTCAATTTGGGCTTTCCTGTGAAGGATGTCATTGACTTACAACCTAAAGACTCGATGGCCCTGATCGAATGACATGCCACAAGTCTGCTAGGTCAAATTTGGATCATGGACTATATCGGTGGCCTGGGATGTGACCTGGGATGTGGCCTGGGATGTGACTAGACCCCGGGTGTTTTGGTGCAGGAGGTCCTGGCGCTACGACTTGAAGACTCGATGTCCCTCAACTCGAGAAATATTTGCCAGATGAAGAAGCTGCAATATTTGGATTCCGAGAAGGAGATGGTGTTGGATGCTGAAGGTGGCAAGCTTCCAAAGAACTTGGTGCTTCTTCGATGGCGTGGAGAAGTGGACAGTTTTCATGACCTGGTCGACAGAGGGCTTGCGGGCCGTTTGGCTGTTTTGGACTTGAAGGTACCGCTCACATGTTTGCCAACGACCGTCAGCGATTTCCGAAACCTTGAAGTTCTGAAATTTCAAGGCTGCCTCTTCCAATGTCTTCCCGAAACGTTCGTACGACTTCCCAGGCTTCGTCATCTGATTTTTAGCAATTGCGGAAGACTTAGTTCACTCCCCGAAGCTTTCGGACGGCTCTCACAGCTGCAGTCTTTTGAACTTCATTGCTGTTGTAATCTTGAAGTATTGCCCGACTCTTTCGTCCAGCTCCCCCGCCTGCAGACTTTGATCATCGACGATGTGGACAAACTTCAAAGGTTGCCCGAGGGTTTCGGAAATCTGTCCCAGCTACAAAGCCTGTTAATATCATACGGGCAATCTATGTCAGAGCTGCCTGAGTGCTTCGGACGTCTCGCTCGACTGCGAGACCTGCTTCTCGATCATATGTTTAGCCTCCAAGCCTTGCCGGATTCTTTTGGGCAGCTTCCGCAGCTGTCGCATTTAACAATGGTGGCATGTAGGATCATTCGAGACTTGCCGGAATCGTTCGGCCATCTGGCTAACCTGACCGTCTTGCACATCCGCGACTGTCGCAGCCTTGAGGCCTTACCAAACTCCTTCGGTGCTCTTCGAAGCCTACAGTATCTTCGAGTTTCCGACTGCTTCGCCTTAACGGATTTGCCGAGCTCTTTCGGCCAGCTCACATCCCTCCAGGACTTGATCATCGAAGTTCCACATTTCACTTCTGTCCCGGACTCCATCAGACAACTGCCTTCTCTGCAGAGGATGGTACTTACTCTCCCCTATCTAGAAACACCATGTTCGTGGCTGCCTTCCATGGACAACTTGGACAAGTATAATATATATAGAGTGCTCTTCGGGCAACCATCGTCGTCCGCCTTAGTTCACTTCAAAACCGTCTTCAGTGTTGAGAACGGTGTCTTCCACTTCAAAGAGTGTGATACGTCTGTTCATGTTTATACGACTTTGCAATCAGTTAATCTGCAATATGGTCCCAGTGGAATCTTCTCAGATCAGCCAGTACAGTAGCTCGTTTAATGGTCACAGCGACGTTACGGGCTTGTACCACGCTCGACCGGGCGTAAAGATGGCCCCTACTTCGCTAGATTTCAGCACAGTTTGCAAAACTTGCAAACCGAGCTCTTGATTTTGTGAAGACTTCTGTGTCACACAGCGTTCGACCTCATGTCAAGTTCTCCGAGGGTCTCCGAGTTGCGATAAGTAGTTCCATACCTTGAACGGGTTTTTCCTATTTATCATTTAATCAGAACTTTATTAAAGTCAGACTGTCCTTTAAGTGACTGCCATCAAAGTTGAAATATCATCTGTATTCTTTTTCATTTCTAATTACAAATATGGCAGATGCTCCAGCTTATCCCCCGCTATGAAACTGTTGACTGCATGCTTTCAAGCGTTTAAGGCTACTCCATATTTGAGGCATTTGTGTGTGGTTTGGCTTACGTGGCCATTCTAAAATCAACTGGTGAACACGACAAAAGATACTATATCAGGGTATGGAACTTTGCGTAGTTTGCAATACTGATTTGACGAAATTCCACTCGAGTTATGTCTGAGCCAGAAATGAAAATCAGATGACTGTCTAGTACACCGAAGGTCAAACAGTGATTAGGATCTAACGGTTGTTCGTTACACACATGAGTTTGAGCCCCGTCGCAGGAGGATTACAAAAAAATTCAAAATGAGTATTTAGAGTTTTCGATTTCCCCTTCCACAGCATCATCAAAAAATAACTGGGCGATAATGTATCACTTACCAAGACATGGAGAACATCTGACTGATGCTTTTTCTTCTTGTATGCTAAGTTTACAGTCTGCTAAACCCGAAAAACGTGAGGCGAGATTCATTACAGCGTCAACCTCTATGAAACGAAAACTGTCGGACAAAGGACCACGTTCTGTACTCAGTCATCCATCTTTGGATCGAGCGACAACGAGCCATAGCTATTGAAGGGCATGTCCACCTCGCCATGAACTCAACGTGGCCAATGAGGTCAGGTGCCGAGTGAGGTATAGTTGCGGGTAGACGTTAAGTGCCTGCAGGGCATGACGTGGAGATGAATATGCCACTGCGTTTTGTGTTAATTGAACAATCATCGTTATCTAATGGTACAATTTTGGTTGATTTTCTATAAAATACTTAAATTATATGAAAATGATATTTGAGTTCAAATGGATTCTTCGATGTGTAAAATCTTTAGATTGGATTAGATTACCTACTGTAATCTTCAAATATATCGTTCGTTAAATAGCAAGTAACTGTTTCCAAAACATTGTTATAATAGTAATCAGACCCGATCAAAAAGTTATATTCTGAAAATGCTCATAGTAGATAAAAAGACAGGCATTCAATTTTAATTTGGAACTATTGATTTACTCCTGTAGAATTTGTATGATTACTTTTTGTAAAATGCAATTTGATTTCAGATCCAGGTTTGTTGAAATGTTGAAATTCAGGCTGCTTTTCCTAGTAAGAGGCCCTGTATAGTAATGAGGAAATTGATTCTAGTTGGTGTCAGAGTATCTCGTTTAGATGTGAAGTCTACATTTATCATAGATAATTTGTAAAAGATGACTTGATGTTATGAAATTCTTGTTCGACGGGCATTGGAATAAACATTGAAAAAATACGTGAAAAAAAATATAAAAGCTTAGTTGGTGTTGTATTGTTCATACATGGAGGGGCTTAAAAGAATACACGGAATTATTCGCTTTTCCTACAAGGGTGGATTGCAAGGACCACCATTTATAAATATTCTTTTCAGACCACGTGTTGAGCTTAGCTATATCGTCCCCAAGATCGATAGACTTGGTACCTTGGTCAGAAGAGTCGGTTGCTCTCTACAAACCCGGAATTCCTACATTGTCTACAAACCCGCAATTCCCTTACATTTCATTGAGATCTGTAACCCACGTCTCATAATTAAGAAAATTGCCTGGTGAGCCTAGCCACAAGCAGAATAAGACTTCCTCCCTCAATTCTAGCTTGTTTTGAAAACTCTACCTAGTTTGACCAATTTCCATCAATGCTAAACCCAAAGTAGCCACTGTATTCCAGAACCAGTTAAACCCTAAATCAGGCACACTGAAGACAGAGCATACCAGCTAATCTGTGTGGGTTGGCGCGGCACTGACTCGGAATTCGAGTCTCCGGTCGCCAGAAGTTTTTGAATTATCATGTGAGGATGATTTCTCGGCACCCATCGCGATCTGCATCCGGGTCACTTTGAAATTCAAAGACCAAAAATCAGCATCAATGAGAAGTTTGGCTCCCGATTCCTTCACTTTATGCTGCAAGCAGCAAAACCTCAGCGGAAGCTGCGCAAGAGCGGTTCATGATTTCTCTTCAATTTCATGAGTTGACGTCCGGGTTAATTGGCCGGTGGTGCGTGTGGGGTGTCTGGCTCGATTAGCTCTTAGAAAGCTGGACTGCTGTTTGCTTTCGTTAAGGGCTTTCTCTCCGTGCGCGCTTGTTCAAATTCTGAAAACCGTTTCTCCGAGCAGCTCTGTGTCTTCATCATATCACATTCCAGAGATTGAATTTTAGCGAATGAATGATCTCCGCAAATTCTAGACAGATTCTGGGCTTGTGAGTCTATCGTTTTAGACGCCGAGGAGTTTCTCGAAACGGAAGTGGAAAAAGCTTCCTGATTTCGGACAGTAGTGCATCGTGGCTGCTTCAACCATAGGTTATGGCGACATTTGTGCGTGTTGTTCAGAGTTGAACTTGGACACCCTCCACCGTTCGCACGAAATAGTAATGAAGATAGATTTGGGAGAGACGGAGTAATGGTCAGGGGGTTATCCCGGCAGGCAATGATGGGCGCGAGGTCATGGTCAGTAGGTCAGTTGCCTACGATCTTCACAGGAAGCAGGAGTTGTACGAGGTCGAAATGTTCCGAGAACATGACCAGCCCCGATTTGATGTCGGGCGTACGACCACAAGGAACTTTAGCTTACGAACAAGGAGTCCAAGCTGTGGCAGAGAGGTCTCAGAGACATGAGAGGCCAATTACAAGGATATCGTGCGATGCATCCTTGATTGGCGATTCAGTTTTCAATCGGTATTCAAATGCCTCTCTTCACAAACAACAGTGGAATTCATTACTGAAACCTAAATGAACTGAGTGGTAACACGTGGAATTGGAGCCTGAATTTGGAGTTTGGTTTGGTGACAGGCTGACAGATTTGAGAGTGCCTTGAAGAGGATGAATCCTCAATGTAAAATTGGGTAGTCATAGGAAAGGAACCTTATCTTAAAGTTGCAGGATAAAACTAGTATGGGACCCTTGATGAGAATTTCTTGCTTTGGTTCTTCCAGTCGTTCTTAGCTGGTGAATTCCACGTTACTTTTTTGCTAAATTATGTAGCTAGGCAGGGCTCTTCAAGCATTTGATTGTATGCTAATCTAACTAGAAACATGCTCATACGCTCAAGAGGAAACTACATTCAGATGTTGTCATTAGTTTTGATCCCATAATTTATCACCTCTCGTTCCATGGACAATAAAATATTCATCTCGGCCTGGCAGTACAGATCCGGTCCAACTGCTGGTCTAGCTGCGCAATCTTGGACAGCAACAGACCTTGCGAAAGGGTTGCTGGATGTGCAAGGATGGAAGGTTCTGAGGAATGAGACTGGAGAACAAGTTGGGATTGTGGATGAAATTATACACATCGGACCATCAGGCAGTGATGAGATATTCGAATCTGTTCTGAAGCTGGTTCAAGTTTCTCCACCTGAAGCCAAACCTCGGTACTTGTCAAACGAAGCGGATGACAGTGATGACGTGGAAGGTCTGGAGTTTTTAGTACCTCTTGTTGAAGACATCGTGAAGGGCGTGGATATCAATTTGAAGTGTCTCTTCATCACTGTAAGTTCCCACTTTGTTTGGACCGTGGCTTAACGTCTCAGTGTTATCAGGCTCATGTTTGAAGCTATATTTGGTGTCATTTGGTGAAAAAATGCCTCGGATATATTTCAAGAGGTTTTGTAGAGCATCGAGCTTAGCAATGGCATTCAAGGAAGCCTTTTCTTATCCTAATTTTGATATGGCTACAGCCTCCAGCGGGACTTTTGGAGCTTGCACGGATCCCTGAAATACTGAAAAGATTGAAGCCCCAACTTTTGGATTTCTGCCAGCACCAAAACGCTGGGATCTTGAGCTGCCTCGACAGTGTAGAAGCTCAACAAAGCACGAGGTTTTCTGAAGGTTGGTGCTTTTTTCCCTAGATTTGGAAACATATCTTGGTTTTATCCCTTTTTGCGTTTGCACCAAATTAAATATCCCCTTTTCCACGTGACCCATATTGCCTGTGTTCTTCTTGCTATATCTTACATCTTAATCAACCCTTTTAGATCATATGGAGATTCAATGTTCGTTTTATAATCATCCTTTGTACGTTGTCTATGGATACTCGGGCTTATGTATCTGCAAGAGTCTTCTCAGACACAGATCTGACATATGTAATTGCTAACCCTGCCAAAATTGTTCTTTCCTTCTCAAATCCGCAGAAACGTTCAGCTTCCCGTTGCAAATTTTATTGATAAGGTTGGTTGGTTCACGTACAGATGCCAAGCAATTAGTAGCATGGAGCAGGAGCATTCAGCCACATAATCGAGACGTCTTCATGCCGACTAGGAGACAGCTTCTATCGGCGGGAAGACAAGACCTAGTGGAGGAAATAATGGTGGGGTTTTGTTTAGTCTTATTGTAAATGGTCTTCTAGTAAATGCTTATACTGGTTGAAAAGCTACCGAAAGTTCTCCATTGTCTAACGGTGCTTTGCATATTCATCTTTCATAAGTATCAACCTATCTAATAACGCGGGATCTTACGTGTTTTCAATGGTTCGAAATTTCGATCTGCACGCACATGCTCATCCTTAAAACCTAAGCTTACATGATTGCGTTCTGTTGGCTTTTGATTTACAAGCCTAGTAAACAAGTTTTGTGCATTCGCCGTGGTTGTTAGGCTCATGGTCTTTCAGTAGGTTACGTTTGAGGTTTATATTCCCTTTCTCTGCGGAGGTCTCACTGGAGGCATATCTTCGTTTCTTTGTTGGTCTTTACCGGCACATCGATCTATCGTTTTAGCTATTTGTAGATGATTTTATCACAGGACTGTTCGTTTTCGTGACAATTAATTTGTCATCATTAGTAGTGAGGATTCCTACTATATGAGAGACCTTGTTCATTCAAAACAGTTTCTCTCTTCTGCCTCCCTCCATTTCATATGACCGTTTTCCTTCCCATTTTGTCATCACAAAAGTATCTCACCCAGGGCGCTGGGTGGACGGTCTTTAGACCATGACCTTCAAGGAGGACATTTTTATAGCCATTCGTAAATTTAACTTCAATTATATGGACACGGTATCCTCATATGCTGCCTTTTTTACCTTTCGTGTAACCTTGTACCTTAGGCTGCTGGAGGCTTCTTATCTGTTGCTCAGGCTTTGGGACTTCGATCACGACGACGGCCTGTTGGATTCTGGTAATGCGTAGAGTAATTTCTCGCTAGCTAGCCTGGAATAAGTCTTGATTTTTCCGTTTCTTCGCGCTCAAATATGGATGCAGCATGGCAATTCTCTGACGCGTTTTAATCTGTACCAAAATCAGGGAGGACTTGAGGAATTTGGATGCCGAAATTGAATGGTTTGTATCAGGATGCTGGGTCATCCAACAATCACCAGAAACTGGTCAGAGCTCTACCTTCACTTTTTCATTCGTATGCTGTTTTCATTTTCTGTTTTCATCTCATAAACAAGAGCTGGTCTGCTTCTTCAAACAGGGGAGGATATATATTACAACCACGCAACAAGTCAGTACTCTAGCAAAGAACCCTCTCCCGGGAACGTCTCAGACCCAGTGCCCGTAAGTGAGGACGAATTTGATGTTGGTACAGCTGTCATGCCTCGACAACAGCAAGTACTCGAAGCGGGACGATATGATTTGCACCATGCGGTATGAGCCCTGAAAGTCGTATTTCATCCGTTTTTCTTTGATCTTCGTGGATTTGTCTGTTGAGGTCCTTATCTCTCGAGAGATTTTGAAGTGAGAAGGCTATAATCTTACGACTAGAGTCATCAAATTGCCTCATCGCCTAAAGAATTGAAGAATTAAGACCTGGTCTATCGGAACCTTCCGTCATTAGTAGCATTCCTTCAGTCGATCAGAGCATATGAAGTCCCTATATCACTGCTTCACTGTGTTGCACTTCAGTTTAGAGAAGCTCATGAATAAACAAGTTGAACAAAGTTTTGCTGGAAATTTCTTAAGGATATGAGTTTATCCATCCTTGGCCGATGTGAAAGTTCATCCTACTTACAAAGTAAAGAGAAGCAAAAGGCTTAAAATGCTCATCAGTTACGCTCTCGCTCGCAAGAACGATGTCGAATCGATGATTGCTGTCCAGCCCATCTTACTGGGCAAGAAATCACTAGGCTTTTTGCTTTCGTACGTTTGGCAGATTCTTCTGCATGGAGGCTATAAGTTGGTTGCTCAAGAACTTGGACGGCAACCAGTGACACGAGATACCACAACGAAACTTGTCTCTAAACTGAGAAGTTTTATGGAAGAGAACTCACTGTAAGTTATATTCTTTCTACCCCCGGACTATCGAACTCACATCTGACAAACATCCTCTACTTGTTATTTTCACCCGGTCAGCTGTAGAGTAGCAGGTTTCAAGTGATTTGTGTTCTTTGTTTTCGAAGTACACCCATGAACTTTTCTTTGCACAATTAAACACTTTTTGGAAAGTGCTACAGCCATAATTGAGGACTTGGCCTACATTAGCTTATTATTACAATGGAATGCCGAAGATTCACTAAGGCTACGTGTTTTCTCTTTGTAGTTCAAGATTTCCTTCATTCGACGAGTTACGTGCTTTTGCCCGCTATGATCTCGTGTACTCTTTAAGAAAGCATGGGGGCATCAATTCTGTGGCTCAAATGATGGAAATTCGACCAAAAAGATATGGGGTGAGTCTCAGAACGAAGGTTCTCTATACATAAGCAGCACCTTCGAAGTTTTTGCTGAGTACTATCTGATTCAGTTGATTTTGTAATCTGCTACATATGATATCATTGTTTTCATATTTGGCGAGCATTACTTGTGGAGGTGATGTTTGCATCAAACCTAGAGCATGTATTTCAGATCAAGCTTGTGTCTCTGCTAACATTTCGTCATATTCCAGAAGGGCCAGTGGTACAGCTTGGATTGTGCGGCAGCTGCGCTTAGATCTTACATATGTGACAAACTAATTTCGACAAGAGGCCTCTCTGGAAGTTCCATGGACCGCTTTGATCTTGAAGACATGGTCTGGAATGATGCTGCCGAAGCTCGTACCTTGGAAATTCCTACACAGGCAAGCGTTTTGAAGGATGGAAGGAGTGATCTCCGTTACTTATTGCAGGTACCTTAGGAGACAATGCATAGCTTCATGATTTTATAAGCTTTCCTCTAATTAAAATAGCCAGCTAAGAATGCGTGATAGAAATATAACCCGATTTTTAAAAGAAAATTGTGGACAAGTTTGTTTTATAAATAACGTAACGGCAGCAGTATTACAGTTAAATCAATCGAACACATTGAATAATTTCTCACCCTAAGATTATAAATTTTAAAGCTTTTGGCGCATGGACTTCTACGGAGCTGACTAATCATTTTATGATTTTTGGTGTATGTTCAGAAATTCGGAAGAAAGCATCTGGCGGAGTATCTTGATATTAACTACGTTGATAGCCGGAGGAGAAGAGGAAAGAAGCTTGATGCGCGAGCACCTAAACACTTTGTACCATTCTAAGTATCATAGCTTTCGCCGACATCAATGCGTTTGTAGCTAGCAGAGGAGCCTGCTCGTACACCTTCATGTCCAGAACGAAAGATTACTACATGCAGATATAACCTTCGATCAGGTAAGTGTCAAGTTATTGGGTCCGTTTTTCCTTCCCCAAGTATTTCTTCAAGCAAATACTTTCACAAGTGATCAAGGAAAACCTTTTTAATCACTGCACCTTAGGATGAAGGAGATGTCATAGTGTCAAAATAGTAGTATATATGGAAGGTAACAATATTGCGTGTTCTTATGGCAGTGCAGGTAGTGGCGCACCAGGTCCAGATTTCCCCGTTGCTTAACCAACCTGATGAAAAGCTTGTTTGGTCTCATAAATGTCTTATCACTTTGCGAAAGCTGAAGCAAGAGTTGACGCTCGTCGATTGGCAAATCCAGCGCTTTCATCCTATAACTAGAATGTCGTCTGTTAAAGATTCCACTTTTCTCAGAATTGTGGTTACATCATTGAGTCTCACAACACGTGCTGTCTTTGACCTAGAATAATTCAAAGTTTGAGGAAAAACTTTTTCTTTCGAAAAACTTTTTTTTCTTGGCAGATGAGACGGCGAGAAAAGTACGCATCACTGAAGCGCAGGTTGTCATGGAATATTTTTTAGGTTTATTCCAGGAGTGGCTCATCTACTAAATTAGGCGTCATGCCTCACGACAAGTTCTTCAGCACTTCCTTCACAAAACAGATAAATTAATTCCAAGAGAGCTTTCCACACAATAACCCGCAGATCGTTCAAGGTGTTTCATCCACCAGTTCAGAGCTTCGCGAGCCGAATTTTGGCGGGTTTTAAAGTTATCACCACTTCCACTGTTACTCAATATCAGATAGAATTTTCTTACCATTAGATGCTTCCACTCTACGTATCATAATTCTTTGGTATGCGACAAGCTTTTGGTATCCTTACCTGCTTTTAGCTTCGCAGTAGTGTTTATAAACGATATAACATTTTCTTGGAGATGAAACTAGCATACTAAACAATGGACATGATCGATGAGTTTCTAAGTCAAATCAAACTTGAACTTGCACCTTTTGACTGTCCCAATGTCATATTTCCAACAGGACTGCGAATTTTTCATGATTTAGCACCAAGGATAGTAGTCGCAACATTGTAACGTCACCCGTCGATAACTTGCGAATGAGTGGGATAGATAGCGATGTATATTTCATTCACAGTAGGCAGAAATAAACATAAGATTACAATATGAATGATCACCGATTGCATAACTCACGACCACACCCCAAGACATCTCATCAACACGACGAGTTCCGAATCTGGTAAACCCTGGCACATTTGCTGAAAGAAATAGCCAAGTGCAATCCAGATGTTTGCCAGAACGTTAATACGTTAATAAGTTTGTAACATTACAACCTTAAAATATTGGACAATACTACTTTTGGAACACATCTGCACGTCAAAGAGATTCTTGTTCCAGTTCGGCGTAATATCTGCGCTTCAGACATGTGCCCAGGGTCAGGGACGTCACTTGCCTCGTTTTCAGCACCTAGAACCTTGATAACATCAGGATTTAGTACCTGTAACATACATGGACACATATTGTTAACTTTTCACGTCTGTATGTTTGAATGTGTGTTCGTAAGTCGGACCAAGACAATCACTCAAATAACTTACTGTGTCATCCAACGCGTGCTCCGAGCATTCATCAATCCCATGCAAGTAATCTGCACGATTTGTCAGCTAGTCAGTGAAGAGATCTCTTGGCAACTTCTCGTAACATTATTTCAAGTAAACGTACTGACTCCAATTTTTCTTACATCGCTTTCCAGGACACCAACCTTTGTAAGCAGAGTCTTTGAACAGAAGCAAACTTCCTCGCAACAGAATTAAGGATACATCCTTAAGGTTACGCTCCTCCTTGGCGTGCTCCGGAGCCTCTTTGTCAGTAAAATCCTCTCTGACATCCAGTAACTTTTCCTTTCTCTTGTATTCATTTCCCTCCTCTAGGTTGACAATTTTTGAATGAGGAGAAAATCTCATCACAGTAGGAGATCCCAGAGACACTATAGCCACAACCGGAAAATAAAGAGGACCATCTTGATGCGGCTGTACAGTTTACGTGCACTTGTTTCAGAAATAGAAATGTTTACATCAGGCATGCTAGAAGAATGAAAAGAATGATGTTCAGAATCCAACGGTTTCTGAAGGGTAATGAGACCATTATTACAAATATTTTTACACTTTCTACCTTAATTGCCCCGGTTACACTGCTTCAATGCGTAACCAATGCAATCAGGGAGAACATAAGTGAGATTGGATATATTTCCAAGTCATCCCCCAGAACGGAGACAGAGATTAGGGTGGAACTAGTAGAAGTAGCAACCAAGAGGATGCAGAAAAACTAAAGGATGCCTTCACAATAGCAAAAAAGTGTCTAGGCTTAGCTGGGAAGTAGCCTACTTGTGTCACATACCATGATACCCTGCCCTGGTTCATACTCATTTACAAGTATATGGTTGATTGGAGAAGGGAAGAGCCCTGTTTCGCTTTCAATTTTCTCTGTCAATGGTTTCAACCATGATGGCACTGCGACATAGAGTTCGTATTAAAAGATACAGAAAACTACTGTCACAAATACAAGGAGTGTTCTTCACTTCAATTATTACACGCGTGTACTACAAATCACGATTGATTCATGCAACGTATCTAGCAGACTTCGTCGTCATAACTGCTCTAACGTTTTAGTGTTAAGAAGTATAGTTTTGCCGAAAGGACATGGACATAATGTACATGATACCGAATTCCCTTGAAAATTGAGTGTCCAATTTACTAGACCGCCTCTCTAGTATTATTTTTCACGTGATATAGCGAGACAGTAGGCAATATGTAAAGTCAGTGATTGGAAGCTTTAGAAAGAGCGATACCGACAAGATTGAGGAATCAGGCCCTTCTCGTGAACTACTCCTCCTGTCGTCAAACAACAGCCATGCCCCTCAGTTTCTGAGAACAAAGTGAGTGTACGAGACTTGTTTTACAATCATAAAACATTACTTTAATAATTACAACTTAACTCATGAAGATTGATTACCCCAATTTTGAAGTCTTCGGTTCTTGAGTGATTTCCATTTCGCAAGAGGAGCGCTTTTGACCTAGTGACAAAATAAATGAGAAATTGTCGTTACCCAGTATACCGACAACATTTGAATACCAAATTTCATGCATCCGTAACATGAAAACCTTCATATTGAAGCTATGAATTCTAAGCTCCTCTCGAACTTTCATTTAACACTGTCATTTCTTGATGGATCTTGTAACTAAAGATCAACTGCTGTTGATCAATCAAACTTATACAGACATATGAAAGTAGTACGCTATCAGGGATACCAATCTTTTCTGGGACCGAATTCATTTCCCCGAGGAGGCAGCGCGATTTTTTACGCCGGAAAAGGACTGTTGGACTTCGAAAGCCAAGTTCTCTCAACACATGAATAAGCAGGGTGGAGAGGAATCATTAATATAAAAGAACCTATGCAGCGTAGCGAACATAAGATACAATTACCAGCACAAATTGACTTAGCTCATGGAGACCGCCCACCTTTAAGCACCTTCTGCTTAAAGGTGGTTACCTCCACCTTTAAGCAAGAGATAAATAATACCATTGAAAATCACTAAGGAGGTCTTAAACACAACACTTATCATAAGAGTTTTAAAACGGAAGCAAATCGTTGAGAATGAAACTCGGAGCAGTATCCAAGCGACAGTAGCTATCTTCCAACTCAATGCCAATGAAAAAGGAATGCTTTGACGGGAATGAGTAAGTAAACTGTTTACAAGGTCCTAAAACTACGATGAACAATTTCACTTCAGCTCGGAATGCTTCTGGAGAACGCCCAGGGAGGCAACAACTGAGCCCACGTCAGATGGGTTTAAAATTTCTATCAGAACTCTTCACTAGTGAGAAAATCAGAAACCGAAGGCTCCACAACAAGCCAGAAGGTGGGCGGAAGGTTCAAACTTAGATGTTAATGCTAGTAAGAGTAACAATTAAACCTTCCATCAAACAGTCTCAGACAGAACGCCAACTTCAAAGAGGTAAAGCTTATCTTGTTCTTATCAAAGAAATTGGATCTCGATCGAAGTGAAGCAACATCTTTCTCTAGTAGCACAAATGAGTACTGTCCATTATATTTAAGGTACACAGGAACACCATATACTTATTCCAGAGCACCTTGAACGCAAGAAGATCGACTCCCCCTGAGCCCTACGAATTATTTTCGACCAAGTGGATTAAAATTCTTCTCCCTCGACAATTATTTGACGTCACACAAAAATATCATCTTCATTTCAACAGAGAAAGGTAGCAGCTCTAGCCCTCGATCTTAAAAAATGAAACAAATGAGAATAATGCAAGCATAACAGTCACGGCAGCGGAACGAACAGTCGGGAAAAGAAATCGCCAGGTTCTGACATACCTGACGGACAAGAGAATCTTGTTCCTCAACTGTCAGGAAATCAGGGATGTAGAAGATTGTGTCCAGAGATCCACAAACATATTTCTCCATCTCCACAATGCTGAACCCTTCTTTCCCTCTCGAAATTAATCCGTCGACTGATCAATCCCACTGATCAATCCCACGACTCTAGGTTTCTTGCGTGCTCCTACATCCTCCACCAAACCCTCCTGCTCCTCCTCCTTTCCCTCTCGTTTTCTCCTTCAGCTGTCTGGCAGCAGCTGCAGACTCATTGTCGGAACCCGGTCCAAAACTCCCTATTCGTTTCATTAATTACATGGTCAATCGATTATGATATCCACGGCGAGCAAAATTAGCCCCCCAGGTTTTGGGACTTTGGTGCACTACGGTACTGCAGTACATCCTCTTATACAGAGAGTGAGAGTGTCCTAGTAACAAAGAAAGTTCGTTGATGCCGGGACCACTAATCTTCCAGCGTGGTGACTGCCGCTTAGCAGCTTCAGTTTCTGCCAGCACGGCATGGAAACTGTACGCTGTAAGGGCGGACTGTGAGGACATGCGCAGGTTTGGGATAAGGTTGTGCTTACTGAGCCTCACGGATAAGTCTTCCAGTTCTTGCGTCGACGACGCAAGAACGACGCAGCGTCGTGTAATCTGCGAGTGATTATGATAATGCGATTTAGAACCACCGGTCGACCCGATGTCACCAATGCGGCGCCGGGCTGGCATAGCCGTTAACCGAGCCGGGATGTTGATTGAGAAGATGCATGAAATCTGTGCGCTCTCAAACAGGCAACCCAGGTTGCGCGGACTGACAGTATTGTGGTATGTTGTTTTTAAAGCATTTCCACGTGGAAAATTAAGCACAATTTCAGCTCGGCGAATGCGGTCCTCGGAATGATTATCTTGCAAAAATCCCGATTAATTTCATCTAATGTACTAGAAGTTTATGCAAATGTTTCCGATCTCTTTCAATCGTATTATCGACCATTCTTGTCTGGAGGAATCCTTGAGGTGTGGAGAATGTCTGTATGCGATATTCACCAATTTTGATGGGATGAGGCACCATCATATCGCCATTTGAGAAAATATGGTTACAGATATATGTTAGGGTAAGAACTTAAAAAATATCTACTTGGCGCTTTGCTTTCGTCCGGATATATGTAGGCTGTAACTCACTTGGCAAATAATTATAAGTTTGAGATATTCACTAGACAACCTAATGTGATATATTGGTCGATCTGAAACTTCTGGTCATGTGAAGAACACAATGAATGACTTGTCCGAATGGATGAGTCACTTTTCTTGCAAAATTTTCTGGTTGGATATGATCCAGAGGATGTTTCTATCACCTTTGAATAAGTCTTCCAATGTATTTTTCACTTTTATTTCATACAGTATATTTTCAAGTAGCGTGAGCTTATGTGCTGCATTTTATCACAACTATATTGTAATGTAGTTTTGACGGGACTTGATTGAACTTTATGACAAGTCCAAACTTTATGACAAAATGCAGTTTTGAAGTAGGTAGTTAGGTAGAGACATAAGAGAATGAAAATCTAATGTTATAACAAAATTTGATGAACAGAACCATCTATTTGTATATGAATGACCTAGAGGTATAGCAAGCCCTTTCACTCCTGAAGCACGATTCCAGTATGAGTAAATATCACCTCAACACGGTACCATGTAACCACTTTAAGCACAGCTTACTCGATAGTATTCAAATACTTGCAATACCTAGTTTGTGTTTGACCTAAGTAGAGTCAATCTCTGTGAATAGAAATGCTATTCCCAGAAATGATATCTTCATCATTTCCAATTCCTCTCTTGCCTTTAAATATGCAGAGAATCAAATGGATTAAATCTGCATCAATGGTAGATAGGTCAAATCAAGGTGTATCCTCGTAGCTTAAGAACAATCTGAAACATGGTTTATCTTAAACTTTTGTTGCATTCATCTTCTGTAACTAAATTTATCAAGAGTATTCATAATAATGAGAAAAGATTATGATAATTGGATCATTCGCAGTGGAATTACAACAAATGACTTTATTAGATTAACTGCTAATGGTCGTGACATATATCTTGTTGAATATGATCACTAAGTTTGAAACTTTGGGATTGTGATAATCTTGGAGAAGATTTTGTGCAACAATCTGATTACTCGGAAGTACCAAATACTTTGGATAAAAAATTTAATCTATCTTATGTTTATGTTGAAGAGCAAAGTATTATTTATATGGTTGTTAAAATTAATAGATATTATTTTGGATGTATGATTATGCATATCTGTAATTAATACATGACATAAGTACAATGTATGTTGTAATTTGATATATGTAAAGGTAAAATTTCAATTTTATCCATAATCTTGTATATGAAAGCAACATAATCTGATATTCATATCTTGTTTTGAAATACATCATTTTTTTAAGAAGTAAATTGGTTATTTTTTTCTTTGAAAATGTTCATATCAAATGGAATTGATGTTGATACTTAAATAAAAATATGCATTTGATTTACAATATCATATACAATGATTACATAAGAGAAATACAAAAGAAATTTACTTGATGGAATTCTTGCATAAAGCAAAACACTTGCTGAGATCCAACACATTTAATTATATATGCAATTTCTTATGATGGTTGTGCAGCACACCGTCATCCATGTTGCAATACAATTCATGGATTAATTAAAACTCATGATAGGGATTGCATCTAGGCGAGAAGAGTTTGCCAGAATTAGACATCAAGATAAATAAATTCACATCTTGTTTCGACACAAATTGTGTCTCGTTGTAGAGCTAGAATTTTTTTGCTTGCGGTAGTTCGATATACATAGAGGAGAAAAAACAAGGAATGATATCTAATATTGGCACAAATTGTGTCTCGTCGTAATATAGCTTCTCGTGTGAATACATATCGCCATACACTCTACATCGCTGACATGATACTCAAATACACATACGCACACATACACACATATAAGGCGCGAGAGAGTACACACTCAAATGTCACAACTGAAAAGTACGGGATTTTCCCACTGGAAACCCGTCGGTCTGATTATCCTATGGCAGCAAACCGTCACCGTCACAAGCAAAGTCAAGCCAAACCCACTCCACACTCAAAGATTCCAGGTTGACGCTCACTAGCACTACTCCCAAAGCGCTAGGTTCGACTCGAAGAACTGACGTTCTTCGAGTCGTCTTTGTAGTTATACACTACGCGACCTGAAACCCTAGACTCGACGCTATTTTTTGTAAATACCAAAACTACATGACAGTTGTCGTGCAAATACATATCGCCATACACTCTACATCGCTGACATGATACCCACATACACATACGCACACATATACACATATAAGGCGCGAGAGAGTTCACACTCAAATGTCACAACTCGCCCCTCTAGCTAGCGGTCAGGCCCTATGACTCCCAGGTAGCACTATCTACAACTACATGATATACACCTTCGTGGGTGCGCGAACCAGTAGGCCGTGTGCTATGTTGTCCAATCGTTAGTCGCATATCTGCAATTCATAACATGTGAAGATCAAGTCATCTACCACTCTGAAGTACATCGAGGACAAACCCATCGTCCAACCGGAATAACATCGATAGGTGGAGTCAAGCACGACATGTGCCATCCCCTAGAACACCTATCACACACCAACATACGGGCCGCATGACCAACAGACCCACATAGCATGCACCTCAAGCCAACACGTACTATTGCTAAGCTTGGGTCCATAGTACCATCTACGTTTGAAAGTTGGCATGGCGCACAATTGTGCACATGATCCTTCCAAACAACGTCGTCACGACCCTCCAATAGAAGAACTCCATAAGATAACACATCCCGCACTCGCAAGATTGTGCGTCCCGCCGTCACATCCAATGTCGTCGGTGCAGTCTGCTGTAGGTAGACGTAGTCTTCCACATGGAATTTACAAATCGATGGTCGATAACCTCCTCCCCGAATGGTTGCATATCGCAACATATCTCTATGTTGAGCAATCGCAAGATTCTCAAACGCTGCAAGCATAACTCTCCGAAAGAGCTCTGCACGCTGAGAACATACTCTCATCCACATGTTCAGGTCATCAAGGTTCACCACCTCGCTAAACTCACGACGAATCGATGTTGACAAGTCTGGATCTCGGCCGTACAATAGAAAATATGGTGAGAAGGAAGCCAATGATGCCAAACGACTCAACCGATATTCCATGGTCAACCATGGTAATTGAATATCCTAGTCCCCAAGATGATCTTGTTGGAAGCCATACTTGCGCAAGGTCCTCTTCACCGTCTGTACAACACGTTCAGCTAAACCATCCGCCTCTAGATGATCTCGCGACGTGGTCCGATGATCAATCAGCGCCTTGTCACACAAGACCTCAAACTCTGTCCTTGATCGGTCAACACCTTAGCTGATGCACCCTAGTGACTAAGCACTCTGTTAAGAAAAGCATACACTACTCTCTCACTTGCCTTGTCAGGTAATGCCACCAACTCAATCCACTTGGAGAAATGCTCCACCATCACCAACACATACCGATGATGTCGTACAATCAAAGATAATGGTCCAGCAAAGTTCAAACTCCAACGGTAATCCAACCTCATGATGGGTATTGGATGTAACACAGGTGTCAAGGCATTGAATGATGCCTTCACCCGATCACAAATCATGCAACGTGATACCAACTGCTGTAGCTGAGTATGCATACTATGCCACCAATACTGACCAAGGAGTAAATGTATGTACGTTTCACTCCAAAATGTCTCAACTCCTCATGAGCATGCCTCACAATGCGCGCTCTCTGAGCTAGATGCGATACTACTTGTACCCTACCGTCCTTCCACACCCGGAGAACATGTGATCCCTCCAATCGGTATCTCTTTGCCCGCTGGAGAACACGATCTCGCTTCTTAGCACCCAATGTGCCTGACACCATACTGGTCCGTAGGAACTCCAACACCAATACATCATCGTGAACATCACGCTGATCCGCAACACCATCCTCAACCATAGGATCTGAAGATTGACCATCCACTCTCTAACTAGAGTAAGATGTCAAATGGTCCTCTTTACTAAGGTCTCCTCGTAACCAACACATGAAGGCAGATGCATGCCAACCGGGCACCATCTCCTCATCAACCTCGTCATGCCATCTAGCTCCAGTATCATCATGTTGGCTAGTGCATGGGTTCCGACTCAAACCATCGGCATCCAGGTTCGCAACTCCAAATCTATGCACTAACTGAAAGTTGTACTCCTGTAAGATGAGAACCCACCGTGCAAGCTTCCCTGTGAGCTTGTCGGACTCCATTAACCACTTGAGCGGCTGATGATCAGTAACAAGGGTGAATTGTGTACCAAACAAGTAACACCTGAAGTGTGCCACAGCCCACACCGCTGCCAAGCACTCTTCCTTGTACGAACTATACCGCGACTCCGTTGCATTGTTCGAACGACTAGCATATGCATCCACAAACTCCTTGCCCTCATCATCACGCTACATCAACACTGCTCCAAGTCCCAACATGCTCCAATCAGTGTGCAACTGGTATGGAAGACCCCTGA